CGGGTTAAGATTGTGCATAATGAGACGATTATTTTGATATCCAATACGGAAGTAAAATAATTAAAAGTAGTATAAATATGCTTCAAAAAGACTTTGAGAGACATTTAAGCGGAAAATTGTTTACATGATATAAGCCAATGAAATCCAACTTTCGGGGTTATAATTATTAAATTTGTTGTATCGTCAATTTTAAAAAATAATAGATAAATAAATTGTTCTTTTTACAATGTTTAAATACGTGCTTTAAATCAGTTTTATTAATTTATTCACTAACCATTTAAAAATCAATTATAGATGGTTTTTGAAAGCTAAAATTTTCTAAAATGCAGCATTACTCTTCTTGTGTAGGTGTGTGTTTGTGTATTTTTTTTCTACATTAGGAACAAAAAAGCCATTCCAATTATTTTATGGATTAAGCAGGTGTTAGAAAAATAAATATTAAATAAATGGTAAATAAATAAAATAATTAATTAATTAATTAATCACCATAAAAATGTTCAAATATTTAATAAAATGTTTTACATTGACAATACAACAGAATAATAAATAAATTATATCCCCGAAAATGAGATATTTTAGGGTTTTTTGCACAAATATTTTTATCCTTAACTATGTAACAAAGTATTTTTTAAAGCATATTAAAACAAATTTCAGTTATTTTACGTCCATGATGAAAATCAAAATAATCGTCAGATTATACACAATCTTTATTTGTCAATTGCAACTTCATATTTTTACTTTGTTTTGATTGAAAAAAAAAATCGGTTTTCAAAACCCTAACACGATTATGAAAGAACTTCAAAGCCATTGATTGTTTACAAGTGTCATGGGGTACACAGTAATGGGTGTCTTCCCACTTAGCCAACATTTTGAAAAAATACAGGTAAAACACAGGTAAATCTGTGTTGGCTAAGTGGGAATGGGGTACAGGAGGAGAACAAAAGAAATTAATTACAGGTAGGCTATAGTCTGTTTTAAGATGAATAAAATATTTATTAATTTTTGTCTATTTTAATTTGATGTATTTATTTAAGAACAGTTACATCAGATAATCAAAATTTAAAAAAAAAAAACTTTCTGATTATTTTGTGTAAAGATAGGGTTATTTTGTAAATTACATAATCATGCACATTTCAAAGTAAAGATATCAAGGATTTTTAACAATAACCCATTTATTTGTCGACTTTACATTTAGAGAGGAGAAAAAATTTAAGTCAATTAAACTCTAGAAACGCTAGGTTTTACAAGTTCAAAATTGGTGAGAATTTGAATTTAAACATATATCAGATTAATTTTACCATGTATATTTACACTCGTATATTTACACTTAATCCCTTTTCATATTTTAGCTCAGATATGCCATATAAACATGTAGATTTAGGTATAATTCTTATAAAATAAAAATGCATAATTCATTGGTTATATTTAGATTGTATATAGTCTTTCCTTCTTTTATTGTTTTAAAATGAAAAAGACAAAATACGCTGCAACATGCCTATTTTAAAATGTACAAACATTGATACATGTATTTTTAATTGATTCATTTTATAATTTTTTAATTCATATTAAAATATTCATTTTATTTGTATAGTTTTACTCTACTATGGAAAATGCCCCAAAATTATTTAATAATTTTGGGGCATTTTCCATAGTAGAGTAAAACTATACAAATAAAATGAATATTTAAGCTGGTGTCTTCATCAGATAATAAATCACATTGCATCAGCTTTGATTACTGTGTTCATAAATTACCATGATCAAATATTACATACTCAGATAAAATAATATTTCTAATCTCAAATGTTAATTATATTAGAATATTCAAAATTCTCTCACTTTTCTTTTTTGTTTCATCATTAAATACTTCATTTCTTATAAAATTAATTTTATAATTTTATTAATATTTAATTTTTTAAAAATTGCAGATTTTACAATATTTACAAAAAAAATTCTGGAACTTTAATTTTATTACTCTGATTTTATAATTATATTGATTCAAATTTTAATTTCAATTTATGTATTTTTACACATTTCAATGGTAGTACGGTAATTCTCAGGTAATCTATATAATTATACTCATACCTGAAAACAGACTATAGCCTGTTGGTCACTCAGGTGTAAAAATCAAAATGTTGGCTATGTGGGAATAGGTTTTTTCAAAATGTTGGCTAAGTGGGAATAAACCCAGTAATGACACCTGATCACTATACCTTGTTTATTTTGTGACAGAGAGCGACCGTGTCCACTCTGAGGCTGTTTGAAATAACATTTTCTCTTTGTGAGAGAATCGATTTTTTTCAATCAAAACAAAATAGTATCAAAAAAGCTATTGACGGCTTAAGATTGTGCATAATGAGACGATTATTTTAATATCCAACGCGGAAGTAAAATAATTAAAAGAAGTATAAATATGCTTCAAAAAGACTTTGAGAGACATTTTAGCGTAAAATTGTTTACATAAAGTTAGCAAAATAAATCCAACTTTCAGGTATACAATTAATAATTTTGTTTGTTTATTCAATTTAAAAATAAGAAAAAAATGATTGATTACCTGCAATTAATTAGGTTATTTTCTTTAAAGAACATCAATAAGTTAAAAAAAAAAAACAAACAAGAAATACCCCGGTTGTGTTTTTTTTTTTTTTTACAAAAGTTACAAAATCATTCCAAGTATTTTATGGATCAAATAAATGTTCGCAAAATAAATAATTTAAAATTAATTAATTAACTAATAAATCAAACCAAAGAATAAATTAAATAATTAATTTTAAAAAATTGATAGATAAATATTCTTTGAAACAATGATTTAATTATTTTTCGTAGTTATTTCAGAGTTATAAAAGAACACAATAAGTTTCCTAACAAGTTAGAAAAATACTACTATGTGTTTAAAATAATGTTCAAAAATTTCTAAGGTAAGTAACTATGTGTACTAAATTGATAATCTTACATCTTAGGTAAACCTACAGTGCTCTGGGAGCGTATAAACTTCTTATTTTTGCTTCAATGAACATATACAGGGGCTTACTGGGGCATATACTGTGGTTTACCGTAGTTGTCTGTAGGAAACAGTAGCCATATAGGGGCATACTGTAGGCGTATCGGGGCCTATTGTATGTTACTGTGGCATGCTGGGGATACATACAGTGGCATACAGAGATTTACTGTAAATACAAAGCTAGTATACCGTAGCATACTGTAGATATACCGTAGATTACTGTAAAAATGCTGTAGGATACAGAGAAAGACAGTGGATTTTCACACGGACAGGGGTTTTAAAAGCCAGTAGTGAATTACCACTACCTGATGCATGTGATATTGGAACATTGCTAAAAAAGTCTTGAAAGACCACATCCTTCTTATCTGTTGGAATTCCGATGTGTATTAACTGTACTCTTTAATTAGCCAACCTGTATTTATATTCACATTAAAATATGTCTATAATAGATGGGAAAATACTGCTGTGGCCTTCAACTTTATGACTTTTATCAGTTAACAATAGTTTCATCATAGTTGCATAGTGGGAAAATATTTACTGAGTTTATTTCATTGATCTATGTTACTTACTGACATGCGATACCTCACTAGATAAATATCCAATTTCGGATTGAGTTTTATGTTCTGCGAGCTTTGACAGAAAAGATTTACAAATAATCTGAAATGTAAGTGTTACCGTTGCTGTTTTCTAGAAATCTGAAATATTCAACACTCTTTTAAACAGCTGAACAACCTAGTCATGATTGTGAAATAAGTATTAGTACTAAAAACGTCAGTCATCATTTGACTGACTGATAAATTGCAATAACTTACAAGTGGTCAGTGCATCGACCAAAGAACTTAAGAAAGGATGACTTAACAGCAACTTGTTTGTAAATGAAACTCGTTTCACTTGATAGCCTTTTGTAATCGAGAGTTGTACGTTACTCGTTTTAGAAACTGTTCTTACGTACAGCATGCTCTCGCGTATAGAATCAATTGAGAGATAAAACCGTATGAAGGTAATGAAGGTATATTGCTACATAAGTAAGGGAACATTTATCATAGAGCTCGGTTGTTAGATTACCATTAACGGCTTTTTCAAGTAAAATATCTTAATATGATACAAATGTGTCAGACACTGTTGTATCTTTTATCTCAAGCTCACCGGGATATATGTAAATAACATAATAATGCAAATAATCATTGTCAATTGACCATACGTCGTCAATATATCTAAATGTGGAGTTGAATGTCACAACAAGTGTTTTCTTCTTTTCAGGCATAAGATTTTGGACAAATTCTGCTCCATATAAATACAAAATTAAGTTTTTAGTAACGGGCATAATGTGACACTGTTGCTTCTTTAAGATGGATAAAACGAATGGGATACAACTAACTTTTGACATGAATGACTAACGTCTCACATGCACACAAAAATACTTATCTTTTTATGTAACCAGTATAAACCATGTACCCTGTAATGACATATATAAAACTATATGCCCATATAATATGGGTTGTGACAATTAACGCCTTATAAACCGAAGCATTCATAAAATGCGTTAACTGTAAGCTTTGTTATACCACTATAACTTTGATAACTAATAAATTCATTCCTCATCTTTTAATTTTCCATCACTCATTCGTGTAGATGATACGACAACTGTTCCCTTCAGAAATGGCTTCGAATTGAGCTAATTTTTATAATGACACGTTAAGCGGAGTAATACATTTTTGACGAAACTCAACTTATGTTATACAATATGAACTAAATCTTTTAGCCAATCAAGTGATTGAAAAATTAAATTAAAATAAAATGATACCGAGGCCCCCGACCAGGTTTCTAAAGTATGCGAAAAAAAGTAACACTTGTCTTGGAAGTTCCTCCATCCTGTCGGGCAATCTGAAAAATATCAAGTTATAGTAATCACCATGCCCATCCAGTCTTTGGAAATATTTAGAATTAACCGGATAATAATGAGACAGCAACCAGATTCCAATTGTTTAAGAAAGTGACTAACCTGCGCAAATAAGCAAAGGAGCCGACCATAATATTAACACTCGGATCATTGTAATGTCTTCCATTAGACTGATGATTTTGTCGCTCTCCTTACGCGATAAACAGCGACCTTATTACAGAGCGTTCAAAATGCGCACTGGTTTAAGGTATATAATATCACAATTAAACATGACAAAATCACAAGACACTTCAACTAACCCATACTTTAGATTTTATCCTACATTTTAATAAAAGACATTCGGAATATTTAACTGTTATGTGAATATAAAAAGCATATCCTTTGAGAAAGATATGGAGATAACGAACAGTATTCAATATCAAAGTCCATAAAACTATACAAAATAGGAGTAGAGCAAACACGGACCTCCCAAACATTAGAGGTGGGATCAGGTGCCATGATAGAGCGAGCATCCCCTGCTGACGGTCACACCCTCCGTGTGCTCCTTGTCATTATCTGGAAATAACGGAAAAATCCGTCGTCAATTCAGTGTATAAATAATGGACTAACAATTAGTATGAAAAACGTCAGTCAGCATATGAATCAATGATAAATTGTATTGGCTGACAAGGTCATTGTATAGACCAAAGAACTTACGAAATGATGACTTAAAACGAGACTACTGATATTCTTGTTTCATCAACTTGTTTGTCTATAATTTACCTCGTTTTAGAAATTATTCATATATAGAGCATGCTCTTGCGTATCGAATCAACTGAGATATATGCACTCCGTATGCAGGTGATGAAAGTATATTGCTGCATAAGTAAGTGAGGCAATCTTTCAGTACTCTCCGATAAGAAAGGTGCATGAATGTCTTGGTGGAAATTTCTCTTGATAACCAATGACCCTTTTTGATCGAATATAAATTCAGACTGGAGAATTTATTTCTGGTTGAAGTAAGGCACATTACTTGCAAACAATTCTGCCCTGTTTTAAATTCGCCCAGTTACATGAAAGTTCTGTTTAAGAAATTATGCCGTATTCTTTGAATTCACCCCGTTTTAAATTTGCCCACCTGTGAGTAGGGCAAAAGGGGCGAAAATAAAACGGACATGAAAATTTCCTGTAGACGGTATAATAATGAACCATTTAAAATTAAGATCTTCTATGAAACACGTTTTATGCATAACGCATACTTTATATATACAAAAATTATCAAGATATTTCATGAAACACAGTTTTGTTCATAACACATACATTAATACCCAAATATTATTTTACTGATTCAATGAATCTGTTTAAAGAAAAGTTTGGTATATGAGACCAAAGTTGATTAAAGCATATCTTCTTAATTTCAGGTATACACTGGCAGGTACTTAAAACAAAAGAAGAGGAAAACAGCTGGCTGAACTACATGAATAAATATTATTTTTATCTCTATTTGCAGCGTTCAAATTATATACTGCGGATTCATCTTTTGTAGTTGGTGGTGGGGGCATTGAAGGATTCAGATTAAGGTCAATATCAATGCATAAAACTATTAATAAAAATTCTGATTAAGTGTCCATTTGTTTGAACGTGTGTTAATGATGTGTGGTTTTACTGTAAAGAGTTATTTTTTGCAAAAAAGATTTTAAAACATTGACTCCCTGTAATATTAAATGGGAAAATAACATACCCTTGATTCTAGTAAGAATCTTCATGAAAACCTCTGAGAAATTTCTTAAGTCAGTCAATGATGACTGCAAGAATTAATTTAGTCTAGTCTAATTGAAACGAATTATCAAGCCCGCATTGAGTATATGAAGTCAGCCATTGTCTGCATTGAGAGACATTGAAGTCCGCCAATGCCTGCACTGAGAGACACTGAAGTTGGCCAATGCCTGCATTGAGAACTCAGGAAGGCGGCCAATGCCTGCATTGTAAGACATTGAAGTCGGCCAATGCTTACATTGAGAAGTCTTGAAGTCGGATAATGCCTGCATTGAGAGACATTGAAGTCGGCCAATGCCAGCATCGAGAAGTCTTGAAGTCGGACAATGCCTGCATTGAGAGACATTGAAGTCGGCCAATGTCTGCATTGAGAGACACTGAAGTCCGCCAATGCCTGCATTGAGAAACACTGAAGTTGGCCAATGCCTTGAGAAATCATAATGCTAGATAATGCCTGAATTGAGAGATTGAATTGTTGATCAAAGCTTTGCATTACCTTCTCAAAATCAATAATTCCCTGCATCGAGGAATGTTGAGAAGGAAAGTGTGAATTGCCTGCATCCACATACAGATGTACAACTTTATATGGCATTGTAACTATGCTGATCTTAATAGTGAAAAATGCAAACGTTTTTAATAAAAACATCCCAAAGTGGAAATTCATTTATTTTCTTTTACAACTTCTAGCATATTTTCCACAAATTATAATTGTTGATTTCTTTCATTTCAATTTTGTGCCATATGACGCTTTTTATTAACTTCAAGAATGAATCATTAATATTTGATCACTGAAAAAGATGATTTTTGAATAAAAAAAATAGTAGGCCAGTCTGGTTCCCTCTCCTGCTTTATCTGGTATGTGTAGAAACGACGGTAACACTGATTATCAAAAATCCTTACGCTAATGAACTATGTTCTTTGACTTATGAAGTTTTCAAAGTCATTACTACTAATGTTTAAAAAATTAGTTGAGACTCCATTTTATGCAACAATATATTATACCCTCATCACCTGCATATGGGGTTTATTTCTCGCAGTTGCTTCGATATGCAAGAGCATGCTCTACATTTAAACAATTTCTAAAACTAGATAAGTATTGACAAACAAGTTGATGAAACAAGAATATCAGCAGTCTCGTTTTAAGTCATTATTTGGAAGTTCTATGGTCGATACAATGGCCTTGACAGCCAATACAATTTAGTCATATTGAGTCAAATGCTGACTGACGTTTTTCATACTTATTGTTAGTCCATCATTTACACACAGAGATGACGACGGATTTTCACGTTATTTCCCGATCATGAAAAGGATCACACGGCGGGTGTGACCGGTCGGCAGGGGATGCTCACTCCTCCATCGCACCTCATCCCACCTCTGATGTTTTAGAGGTCCGTGTTTGCTCTGCTCCTATTTTGTATTGTTTTATGGACTTTTGAGCTCGAATACTGTTTGTTATCTCCACATATTCCTTTAAAAAGCATCTCAACACAAGTTGTTATATGCATACGAAATTTTTAATATAAAATGACGGTTAAACACAGATTTGAGATATTATTAGATATCAAATCATGGTCATATTGACATATCATGCTTACGTTCTCATCACAAAACCTGAACGCGTGTCAACATTATATACATGCAGTGACATGATTGCTACAAATATGTCACAATGATAAACAAATCTTTTTAAAAGCTCATCCTAAGTTATAGCTCCTTTGATCAAAGCCTTTGAATCTCTGCATCGCTGGGCTTTGTTTTCTCGGTGAACCATATCTTCTGTCTAATTGTCTGTCAGAATACTGGCCTACAAAACCTCGGCTTCTCAGCCAATGAATGGTGCGTTCTCGCCAATCAGAAATGTTTGCTGGGAAAAGAAAATTAATTAAAAATACAGTCAGAATCAAAAGCTAATATCAGTATATTTCTATTTCTTGTTTCAGTCAAAGAATGATTTTTTTTAGCACTGGATATTCAATTTATAACTTAGGCCTAGAAGGTTTTGAAAATACACCAAACCTTCGTCCCCTTAAGTATAAATTGAAATGAAAACAAATGACATTTCCTTCTTTTGTGATACATGAAGTTGAAATAAGTTTTATTTATTTTCTATGCAGTATAATTTAAAAAAAAAAAAAAAAATTCCTTATATTTCTGTTCTTGCTGAAGGGGTCGTACATTGCAATTGAATATTTTTCATCTTGCAATTAACCGAACGATACACATGTATATCTACTGTGAAATCTGACTGTTTTAAACCCTGGCGAGACTGAAGTTAAATAAAGTTGGAACAGTTGGAGCTATCCATTGTATGAGAACCAGAACATGAACAAACATGGAGTCAGGTAAGGAATACAACTGAATCTTTTATTCCACGAAAATAATTGCATACTAGTATTACGAAATCCCTTTTGCAGCACTGTATTTTCACTTACCTCCTTGTGGAAGAGCTTGGATCCGTGTGGTGAGGAGGAGAATTAAAATCCCAATGCATTGTCGCCGCTACAAGAAAAGTTTGTATCTAATGACATGTGTCAATTCAAAAAGAGTTGAAACTTGAAATAAACTGTTTTCTACTAACCATGCTGAATGAAATATCCTGTGCTATCTGCAACAGTATTTCCGATTTTTACAGTTTATACCTGTCTTCTTTTTTTAAAAAATCAGGATCGAAATAAAATTTGATTGCTTACACTTATAGTTCACACGAAACATTGAACTTTTATTAACATTTACATTAAGTTATGTAATTTTTCTGAGAGTGAATGAGTGTAGAACAATAACTTCGAGTTACTGAGGTCATAAGGGAAAATCGATCGCCTAGAAGCTCTTTATTAATTAACAAAGATTAAATTTACCCACTTCAGCTTAATATAAAACAAAACATCGTTTGATTTTACCCATGTTTCTTTTGTGAATTTCTTTTGTGCTTACATTTTCCGAATAAAGTTAGGGTAAATTGCTGTTATTCTGTCCATGAACTAGCCTCTCTTCTGTACATCCTTTTTAAAACTTCTCTTACAATCTGAGCAATACCAATTTTATTTTTAAATAAGGCCGAGAATGGAAAACGATATATATAAATTAAACGGATAAAAACCATAACAACTATATGTAGGTAAGAAATGTTATTATTAAAAAATACAAAAATAAACAAATGCATATGTAATAAATTGTTGGAAAATAATTGAATTTTTCCTTTCAAAACTTAACAAAGTCTATGAAATACAATCGATTTAGATTATAGAATACAAGAAAATAAGTCGAATAAGTCGGTATAGCCTTTAACAACTGCTTAATGAATCTTCAAGTCTTGTTTTCGTCCAGTACTTTACAGTATATCATTGTGTTCTCCATTACTGGTCTTTGTCAATTTTAAGTATTCACTATCATTTTCTTCCATCCTCTTTGGTACATATGAATTTTCTTCATTCTCAGAAGTCTCACTGAAATATAAAAGATTCAGATTATCCATATTGATGCCAATATACTTAGTTGTAACCTTAATTTAACCTCACTTTGCTTCGAATGAATTACTAGTAAAATAAAGTCGATGCATATTATTCCATGTTTCCCACTATCGTTGATGCCCTGGCATTGATTTATTAATTCTACCTGGCACCTACAGACTTGATTTTATATTACTTCATCAACAAAGGCCACCCGCATCGGTAAATTATTGTCGTTGGTCGACAATTACTCAGTATTACGTAAAATTACATATACAATTTAAAACCAACCTCTCTGTCACTAAATCTTCCTCGTGCTCTGCGTCTTCTACCTGCTCCAACAGCTTCCGCTTTTTCGTTTCCGGTAGAGTTATCGATAGGAGAGCCACAATAATGGTAATGATTCCATAAATTAACAATGGAAGAGCTGTTTGCATTTTACCATCCGTCTGCAATAGATTGGTGTTATATTTATATATGTAAAGGACTAGGATAAAAAAAAATCCCTAATTATAGATGGTGCATGTAGAAAATAACTTTAACTAGATTTAGAGAGATGAATGGAATTTCTTTCATTAAAAATTCCAATAGCTTACTAGTTGGTACATATAAGGTGAAATGTTAGAACCAATTCTAGCTCCACAGCTACAAATTCCCATCACCAAGCTCCGGACGACTGTAGGAAATAGTTCTCCGGTGTAGATAAAGATCTCACCGAATCCCGCTGATATTCCCAGTTTCCCGACCATGGAAAACGCTATCATTATCCAGTTGTGAGCTGAAGTGTAATGCATGTTTCAGTACATTTAAAATGTCTAAAATTTAATCTCTACTGACTTTCAAATTTATAGAAAAAATATTGTGTGATTTAATTAACTGATTTTATATATGATTTATCAAGTCGAGATGGCTTTTTGGTGAGGCTTGCCGATAATGTGACATCATGTTGATGTTGGTGAAGTGCATTTTTACTTATCATGGCAATATGCATCGTCGCAAACCACGGCCAAAATGTACGATCCTCTCTCATTCTGGAGAGACCTATATGCGGACTCAGGACCGTGGTTTGAGACGATGGTCAATATGATGACAACGATCAGTATTCAAAATCAAAAAGTCCATAAAACAATAAAAAAAATATGAGCAGAGCAAACACAGACCTCCAAAACAGCAGAAGTGGGATCATGGAGGAGTGAGCATCCTCTGCCGACCGGTCAAACCCGCCGTGTGCTCCTTGTCATGATCAGGAAATAATGGGAAAATCCGTCGTCAATTCATTGTATAAAAAATAATAGACTAACAATTAGGCCTAGTATAAAAACGCCAGTCAGTATTTGATTCAATGACAAATTGTATTTGCTGACAAGGTCATATTGTATCGACCATAGAACTTACGAAATGATGACTTTCAACGAGACTACTGATATTGTTGTTTCATCAACTTGTTTATAAATAATTTCTATGACATCCTTGTTTCATCAACTTGCTTGTAAATAATTTACCTCGTTTTAGAAATTGTTCATACGTAGAACATACTCTTGCGTATGAATCAAGTGAGAAATATTAATTAACTCCGTATGCAGGTGATAAAGGTATATTGCTGCAAAAGTAAGGGAAGTTGACGATTGAAAAGTTAAGTTATCAAGTTTATCATAGAGCTTGGTAGATAGATGACCATTAACGTCTTTTTCAATTGAAATATCCAAATTTGCAACAGATGTGTCAGACTCTGTTATCTTTTATTTCAAGCTCACCAGGATATATATCTTATCGATATAAGAATGAAAATTACCATTGTTAATTGACAATACGTCGTCGATATATCTGAATGTCGAGTTGAAGGCCAAAGCAAGTGTTTCTTCTTTTCACGCATAAGATTTTGAACAGATTCTGCTTCATATGAATACAAAAATAGGCCTGCTAAAAAACGTAACGCACAAAAAGATATTTTTCAGGTTCAATCAAGGATTTAAGGGGATTATTTGATGTACCATGGTAACGAATCTTTGTGTCCATATGAATAAAACAATTGATAATTGAAACTAATGACAATGCATTGGGATTTTTTTATTCGCTTTTGCCTAAACAATATTCAAAGAAAGCTTGCTTGAATTGTGGGTAGAATGTACCCCATCAATGAGCCTTACATTCGTCTCCAAAGAGGACGGGAAACACGGAGGCCAGGCACGCAGTTCCACTGAGGAACATCACTGTCAGATGCATAGGCTTTCGTCCTGTTCTGTCCATAAATATACAGAGGAAGTAACCAATGAATTCCATCACGCAGGATATGGCAAAATTGATGTACAAGTCGCCTCCTAACTTCCCAATGTGAAGAGTTAATCCGTAGTAAATAAACGATATAATGAACCTGATAAAATAATATATCGTGTATTTAAAATCTGTAATTTCATTTCATTTATTGTAGTTAGACGAATTTATGGTATACCCTTGGCTTTCTTTTGGTGCAGTTTTTTGTGCCCCACTTTATTGAAAGTTGAACAATAATGCATCTACTGTAGTACGGTATAGCCTGACGCTTTATAGTAGATTAACGTTTTTATATCAAGTCTATCCAGAATGCTTTATAACATGTTTAACTCTACGCTTGATGATAAATAAGGATGATGTATCATAGAATGCAGACAGCTGGATTTGTCTCGCAACTTTTTGAATGATTGAAAAGGCTAGTATTTAAGCAACTTTCTTAGTCATTTGAGGCAGCTAGGGATGGACACAACCAGACTTGCTGAATTTGACGTACATTTTCATATGAATACCAGCTGAAGATTTTAGAGTTGGTCAATATTCTAAGGTATCTATAATCTTATGCTGACTAAACTTGCATATAATGTAGGCGACGCATCTAAGGGCGCACACTTACTATGCCGAATTCTGGGGAATGATCAATTCAAATTCTAAAAAAAAAAATACAGTTGAACAGTTCCTCCCATAACTTACATCAATGAGGGATGAACCCTACTAGAACTTTTTATGAATACAGAAAATTCAGGTGAGTTTCGTGATTATAAGTTCATACACATTCTACATATTAAAAACAAATAATTGAAATTCAAAGACCTGAATCTTGATCCCGAAAACAGGAAAGGCTGGATATTCTGTCAGACTACAAACCAGTTACAGAAAATGATAATCCATCTGAGCAGCAGCTTTCTGGAGTGAAACAGTTCTCTCAGGATCTCCCGAACTCCTCTATCCTCCTCCTCCAGTTTAAAGTCACGTGGTAAATCCTCAAACTCCGTACTATTGGCTTTGGCCGCTTTCCGTAATATCTTAACGGCATCTGTGTTTCTTCCGCGGGATAGCAGCCAACGGGGTGATTCTGGTAGGACTTGAGGCCTGTACAAAAAATGACAATCATATCAGAAATTTTAATGTTACGAGGGGTGATCAAAAAGTTCGCAAATTATCTCTATATCTATAAAACCACAATTCAGATTAGAATGAAATTCGGTACACACATAGCCATACACAAGGTCTATAAATAGCATATGCTGAATAAAGTTTCTCTCCTTGTTTATGACGTCACAATGTGAAAATTACGTCACTATTTAGGTCACTTGTGACGAAAAATGGTTGTCTCAGTCGAACTCGTTGAACAAACGACTGTACAATTTATTGTAATATCTTAGAAATCCCTCTACAGTATCATATAATAATTTGTACACAGTTTATTGAGATAAATGAGTTCCTATAAATTCAATTAATGATTGGATTAATCGTTTTAGTGAAGGAAGGCTGATGGTTAAAAATGATACTTGTCATCTTGCCCAGTGAAAGCAAGTTTGAAATGGTATGTATTTTTAATTAAGCAATTTGCTACCAAAGACCTCCAGTTAGCACTTTGAAAAATAGTTGAATATTTGAACAATGATATAAGTATTAAATACCTAAGATATCGTTTACTTTAGATTTTAAACATATTAGATATGATAAAAAGGATGCACCCATTCTCTATCCACATTGAATAAAGATCTCTCCTGAGACAGAAGATTTGTGTTTTAATGGTCGCCATGCTTATTTTTGGAAAGGATGTTATTATCCACCCATTCTGTTGCTGAGATATGACCATTTCTGAAAAATTAACTGTTCTTGTCATAAAAATTAACTCATATGAAAAGAAATATAAAACTCGGAAAAATCTTTTAACATTTGTGACAGAACGCTACGGAGGGGGTCACGTGACCGCCAATATGACGTGATTCGCGCATGCGCAGAACGGTGGTTGATGTGCATTAAAATCGGGGAGGATTAATTTAAAATATAATCAACATTAAAACCAAATATTGTTTCTTGTATGGAAGTTATTCAATTAGTTTGCGAACTTTTTGATCACCCCTCGTAGTTACAAGAGCATTTCATACCACATCTTTTAATGCAAATGATAATAGATCCATGTTTTCGAAAGTCATTCATAATATTTACACTTAACCAGAAATTAAAGTATTTTCAATTAATCTTATGAATTTATCTACTCAAAGTAAATAAAATATTTGACAAAATACTGCTTTTTTGTAGTGGTTGATACAAAATAACTTTGTAAAAACATTCTGTTTCTATGTACAATACAAGTATTATCTTAAAAAACCTGGAGTCTTCTTCTTTTTCTTCTTCCTGTCAAGTGAAGGGCCGCTGCTGCGGCATTTTCTCACTTTTGTTTAAAAACGTGTACGTGAGGGGGAGTCCAAGCGTCTATTTACAATTTTAAAAACTGATAAAAACATGTCCTGCTTTGTTATGGTGCTTTGTATCCCTGAATCCTGGTCTTAAAGGACTCCAGGGATATGGCTGTGATGGTATCTTCTGGCAGCTGGTTCCATATCCTGATGGTAGTAGGAAAGAACGATTCCTTGTAGACGTTGGTACGGCAGAATGGGATCCTGTAGCGCTGTTGGTGTCCCCTTGTGGCTGCTCCTGTTTGGCTGAATTGGGGAGGCAGGTCTATGGCAACAAGGGAATGGATGACACGGTACATCATAATAGCCTTTGCTTTGATTCTGCGTTGTTGTAGATTTTCCCATTCTAGCCTGTCAATCATCGTTGTGACACTACTGGTGGTGTTGTAGTTATTGGTCACGAACCTAGCTGCCCTTCTTTGTACAGTTTCCAGTTTGTCAATGTTTTTCTTTGTGTGAGGGTCCCAGACGGTGGATGCACATTCTACCTGGGGTCGGACCAATGTCTTGTAACACTTGTCCTTGATGTTACTGGGACAGGACGAGAGGTTCCTCCTTAAGAAGGCAGTGGTGTTGTTTGCCTTCTTACATACACTATCAATATGATGGTTCCACTATAGGTTGTTGGAGATGTTGACCCCTAGGTACTTAGCCTTGGTGGTAGTGGCTAACTCCTTCCCATGGATGTAATATGGGGTAATGCGTTGCTTCCGTTTGGTGGTGATACGGATAACCTCGCACTTGTCTGGGTTGAAATGCATTAGCCAGTCTGTTTCCCAATCTTGGAGGTTGTCAAGGTCCTTCTGGAGTTGTCTGGCGTCAGCCTCTGTAGTGATGGTCCTATACAGAAGGCAGTCATCTGCAAATAACCTGGCCTTGGACCTCACTCTGGAGGGTAGATCGTTTATGTATGCCAAGAATAGCAAAGGGCCGAGGACCGTTCCTTGGGGCACTCCAGATGTAACCGGTGCGGTTGGTGAGAAATGGCCCTCGACCAATACCTTCTGCGTTCGTCCAGACAAGAAACTCCTGATCCAATTGAGTAGGTTGCCTCGTACCCCGTAGTGGTCTAGTTTGGCTAGCAATCTCTCATGTGGGACCTTGTCAAATGCTTTGGAAAAGTCCAAGAGCACTGCATCAACCTGGGTGTTGTTTTCAATACTCATGCCGAGGTCCTGGATTGTTGTTATTAGTTGGGACTCACAGGATCGCTTCTTCCTGAACCCATGCTGGTAGTCGGTTAGGATACTGTGATGCTCGAAGAAATTCATCAGGTGGCTGTGGATGATGTGCTCTATCACCTTGCAACACACAGAGGTCAGGGACACAGGGCGGTAGTTTGCAGGCTTACTCTTATCACCCTTCTTGCAACACTGCAGTAGTCTTCGGAGACAGGCTTTTCCAACAAACTCCTAGAATTGATCTGATTGACACTAATTTTGGTCCATTTTTAAGCAGATTATTTTTCAAAATTTCTACATATCAAAAAGGAAAAAACTTGCCGTGGACTTTAACTCGACATTCAAATATATCATAGGCCTAAATTGAAGGGACTATCGGCTTATGACGTTACAACCAATAGATACGATAGACTTTAGCAACATTATAATAAAGTACCACCAATAGAGACATGATATAAGAACATAGCATACCACCCATAAATACGGTAGACTTTAGCAGCATTTTAAGAACGTACCACCAATAACATAGCGTAGACACCATCGGAACAGCCAGTGCCAGTTGTAGCCATCGCCAATCTCTGATAAAGTAGGCAAAAATCAACAGCAGAAACTCCCCAAACACATACACCTCTAAAATCATCGTCCCAGAAAACAGTCTTTTTGATGGCCCAACCATCTCCATACCTACAAGTGTAGATCTTTAATTTTTTATCAATTTTAACTACAATTTTGTTTCGTTCAACAGACTCGAAGTGGGAGAACAAAGGTGAGTAAGAAATTTTTGAGTAGAAACAGTATAACATGGTCCCCCTTTTTAATGAATCAACAAAAAAGTATGTACGTATTTAAGTATACAAAAACATGCATACCGATTATAAAGGCTCCATGATAATACGATAACCCACAGGTGCCATCAAAGAAGCGGAGAATGATAAACATGACCACATTGTAGGAGAAAGGCATGATTATGTTAACGACGAACTGTAGGGTGGTAGCCAAAATCACCATCTTACGCCTACCGATCCTGAAACAAATCATTAAAATTCATATTATTAAATGGTTTTGAAACTCTTTTGAGTCAAGGACTCGAGTAAGCTTTCCTGATCAATTTTAGCCCGTCGTACAATGTTAAGTTTGTATAATTTATTGAATTTCCATGCCCATTTGGTTTTCACCAAAATTTAGCAAATAACTCTTGACTGGAAAAAGTTTAGGATTTTTAGCTCTACTGGTCAGAGACCAGAAGAGCTTATGCGATAGTAATGCGTCCGTCGTCCGTCCGTCTGTCCGTCTGTCTGTCTGTCCGTCTGTCTGTCTGTCTGTAAACAATTTTTCAAAATGCTACTCCTCCTACAGTTTTGGTCAGATTTCAATATAACTTGGCACACAAGTAGACCACACTAAGATACATAATTCTGATGAACGGTGTTGCCGCGGTTACTAAAAATAGAAATTTCTGTGAAATTGTTTCAAAATGCTACTCCTCCTACAGTTTTAGTCTGATTTCAATATAACTTGGCACACAAGTAGACTACACTAAGATACATAATTCTGTATATCGGTTTTTGATTTCAATGAACGGTGTTGCCGTGGTTACTAAAAATAGAAATTTCTGTGAAATTGTTTCAAAATGCTACTCCTCCTACAGTTTTGGTCTGATTTCAATATAACTTGGCACACAAGTAGACTGCACTAAGATACATAATTCTGTATATTGGTTTTTTAGTTCGATGAACGGTGTTGCCGTGGTTACTAAAAATAGAAATTTCTGTGAAATTGTTTCAAAATGCTATTCCTCCAACAGTTTTAGTCTGATTTCAATATAACTTGGCACACAAGTAGACTACACTAAGATACACAATTCTGTCTATCGGTTTTTGATTTCGATGAACGGTGTTGCCGTGGTTACTAAAAATAGAAATTTCTGTGAAATTCTTTCAAAATGCTACTCCTTCTACATTTGTAGTCTGATTTCAATAGAACTTGGCACACAAGTAGACTACAATAAGATACACAATTCTGTGTATCAGTTTTTGATTTCGATGAACGGTGTTGCCGTGGTTACTAAAAATAGAAATTTCTGTGAAATTGTTTCAAAATGCTACTCCTCCTACAGTTTTAGTCTGATTTCAATATAACTTGGCACACAAGTAGACTACAATAAGATACATAATTCTGTGTATCGGTTTTTGATTTCGATGAACGGTGTTGCCGTGGTTACTAAAAATAGAAATTTCTGTGAAATTCTTTCAAAATGCTACTCCTCCTACAATTTTAGTCTGATTATAATATAAATGTGGTATGCAAGTAGACTGCACTAAGAACATAAAGAGACTTAATCAAGGATCATTATTCTATTTATCGCTGTTGAAAAGTTTCAATTTCCAACTGCTTAAGAACTTTTCTCTTCCTTTGCTATAAGTACAAACCAGTAGAGCTTCAGTCTCGACAGAGACTTCTGGTTTAAAAAAAGTGTCATCACACTACTTAAAGAGAAATTTTAAAGGGCATATGTATATGCTGAGGAAATATTATGTTATGGTATAACTAAGCTACACATATTGGACAAGAAGATGTTTTGGAGGTCCGTGTTTACTCCCTCCTGTTTTTATTGTTTTATGGACTTGAATGCTGTTCGTTGTCTCCTAATATTTCATCACTAAACCCAGTAAAATCAAACTTTGACTTGGAACTGTGAATTTATGAACATCATGCAATAAATAAATGGCACAATAATTCTCAAGAGTTAGAGAAAACTTTAAGATTTATACACAAATGATTGCTTACACATCGGCCAGAGGGCACAAAGTTACTGTGGCAAAGACATAGCCAAAAAAGTACGCAGAAATGGACAGCGAGTGTAGGATTTCGTTGTCACAAACTAGGTCAAACTAAAGGGAAAGAAAAAATTGAAATGAGTTACATGTACCCAATTCATAAATGAAGGAAGAGAAAGTTACGAACAAACAAAATTATATAACACCTTTCATATTACATTTATTGACTTAAATTTACACAACAATGCAAAGAAGAATAAAATGCTAAAAAAAAAAAAGAAAAGAAAATAGGAAGACGATTTTCATTAAATGACGTTCATTAATTCCCTACCAGTGAGTCCCGAAGGAACCATAGGTCTCCTCCTCGTCTGTCTGCATGTTGTCGTCTGTCCAGCTGGCCCTATGTCTGTCTGTCGTCTGTCCAGCTGCCCCTATGTTTGTCTGTCCAGCTATCCCAATGTCTGTCTGTCTAGCTGTCCAGCTGTCCCTATGTCTGTCTGTCTGTCTGTCAATCTTTCCAGCTGTCTCTTTGTCTGTCTGTCTAACTGTCCCTTTGTCTGTCTGTCAGTCTGTCCCTTTGTCTGTCTGTCCATCTGTCCCTTTGTCTGTCTGTCTACAGGGGCTTGCTCCTGGCGTGTAAAAAATATTTATTAAAAAAACATAAACGATATACTATAAAACTTTTATAGTATATCGTTAATGTTTTTTAATAAATATTTTTTACACGCCAGGAGCAAGCCCCTGTAGTCTTTCAGTCTGCCTAGCTGTCCCTATGTCTGTCTGTCCAGCTATCCCTATGTATGTCTTTCAGTCCGTCCAGCTGTCCCTTTGTCTGTCTGTCCAGCTGTCCCTATGTCTGTCTTTCAGTCCGTCCAGCTGTCCCTATGTCTGTCTGTCCAGCTGTCCCTTTGTCTAGCTGTCCAGCTGTCCCTATGTCTGTCTTTCAGTCTGTCCAGCTGTCCCTATGTCTGTCTTTCAGTCTGTCCAGCTGTCCCTATGTCTGTCTTTCAGTCCGTCCAGTTGTCCCTATGTCTGTCTTTCAGTCTGTCCAGCTGTCCCTCTGTCTGTCTTTCAGTCTGTCCAGCTGTCCCTTTGTCTGTCTGTCCAGCTGTCCCTATGTCTGTCTTTCAGTCCGTCCAGCTGTCCCTTTGTCTGTCTGTTAGTCTGTTCAAGTCGGTTCCCCGAGCTTTTTTTTCTAAACGCTTTCAGATATCGAACTGATGTGTGTGTATTCTGAAAAGCTTACCTGGGAGTTGACTGTTAGTGTGAAAACTGATTGGTCATACACCCACTCGGAACACTTTTCAATCGTTCCATTGACCAAGATTTTACATTGATAGTAGCTGCCATCTGGATGCTTGGGGATTGTCGCATTAATGACGTCATCGTGGAACTGATTCTGAACTGCATATGTATCGTTCTGTAAACCTGGGATCTTGCACCTGTATACACAAACAACACAGGCATGAGAAATAGAACTACACACAACGCAGGTCAAAATAATGTAAAAATATATAAAGTATTATTAAACTGACTTCAATTTAAAGCAAGTTCTTTTGTAAAATGGAATTCATGGTCTTTATCATGGAGGGTGTTAACAAATAGAACAGAACAGAACAGAACATTTTATTACTAATTTAGAGCCCATAACAGACAAGTATGAGCTTGTTACAATAATAAGAAAAAGACTAGATGCGATCTCGTTGCAAGCAACGAGTAGGTCTTCCGTCCGATATCTGATTGAATAAGACCTGTGTTGGGATAGTTCCACTGATAGGATGAAAAATGTCAAAAAGGCACAAGAATTCTTCAAAATATGTTTAGAAACACAAAAATGTAGGATCTATCAATTCCAATCAACTTTCGGTTCTATTTCTTCACTTCCGGTGAAAAACTACTTTCAACTCTACATCTAGCATGCAGTAATCATCCCTGAAAGTTTCGATGGAAAATACTCATTTCTAGACAACTTCCGGTTTGAACGAACCGTACTTCCGGTGGAAATATTAAGATGCTACGCATTCTTTAAATCTCTATAATGAACAATTACATTCATTAGAAAATGAAAAAAAATCGCGATACATGTACATGTATTTAAATTTAATGTACTTCCGGTATACAACAGAAGTGTCGACGGAAAAAACGAACAAATTTAATGTATGCATATTGTTGGGAACATTATTTTGACCATCTTTTGTTCATTATTGCTTATCAAAATATTCACGCTTTTCGAGATATAAAGCGTCAAAGATTTAGCATTCTAGCCCCTTGTGACCCTTTATTACGTAACATATGATCAAATTTTTAGTATATATTGTTGCAAATAGTTAAGTTGAGTATCTTTGCTTCAGTAATATATCACAAAATATTGATCATCAAAGAGTTAAAGACGAGAGACTTTTGGCCCCTCTTTGCCCCTAATTTGAAGGGCTAACCCCATTTTCTTCATATCAAATGAAAGGTCTTACTATATTGCACATTTTTTATTATATATGTCTTAACAAAATATTAACCAGTAAAAAGATATAAAAGAAAACGTATCAATTTTTGCGAGATACGTATGAACCTATTTTTTGAGCCTAGGCGAGCGTCGATTCCTTTTTACCTGGAAAGCTCTCTATGCAAAATGTCACATCTACAATCCTTCCTCTACCTTCACTGAAAATCTCAAGTCGATATCTTCAGTCGTTTAGGAGGAGATCACAGGACAAGCCTACCCTCTAAAAATCAGAAAATCGTCCATATCTCACGACCGGAAGTGACGTCATCAGCGACGAAAATTTCCGACAAGGTTCAGATGAATATCTATCAGGTTTGAAAGTTTGGTGAAAATCGGGCGAGCCGTTTCCGAGAAATCGCGTGCACAAAATCGGTAAGAAAAAAAATAATAATAATAGGGAAAAAGAAACCGAACGAAAACAATAAGGTCTTCCGTTGGAGACGGAAGACCTTAATAAGCCAATGAATAGCAAAACAATTATACAATTAGTAATTGATATAAATCATTTCAACATTATCCTGTCTAAAAGGAATACATCAAATATGCATGTATGTGTAAAAGATTATTGCTACTATAACATGTTATCATTAAAAAATTTGCCCACAAAATTAAAATTTCCTTATCTTCTGTATTGAGTAACCAATAAAGTTTTTGTTCAGCATCTAAAGCTGAAAATAGTGGAAATTTATGATTAATTAACTACAATATTTCTTTTCTTTGATGATCAAATTTTTTACATGTTATTAAAAAATGAGTTTAATCATCTATGTTGTTAGAATTACATCTCTTACATAATCGATCTTCTCGAGGAATATTGGTAAATCTTCCCACTTCAATTTGTAATCTGTGACAGGAAATTCTTAATTTACAAAGAGATTTTCTGTGATGAAAATTTTTAACAACTGATAAATAATTCTCATAACCCCAATTTTGTTTGAGTTTCACATATGTGGATAATTTGCCATCGGTATACTAGTAACTTTGATGACTTGTATACCATTTCTTCACATAATAATCTAATAAAATTTTATGACAAAATGACTTAAATTTATATTTCCCATAACAAATAACTTCATCTTTAATATTCAGTAATTTTCTTAATTTCTGTATAAATGCAAACCATGAGTTCTTTCCATTCACAAAAATTTTTTCACTACATTCATATCCATCTTTAAGTAAAGGAAATTCTATGGACAAATTTTCAAATCTATACCAACTTTTAATCAACAATCTGACAATATCATAATGCAGGGGGAACCTTCCCAATTAAGACAGTACTGCAAAATTTGTGCTTTTCTTATGAACGCCGAGAATATATTTACAGATTTTAAGGTGTATTCTTTCACAGGGTAGATTTTTAAAACAGTCTTCAAGTGTTAAATTTTGGCAGTTTAGGAATTTTTTAGTATTTATATTACTTGCACCCCCCACCTCTGCATTATACAAAAGAATTGGTTTAATGGTAGAGTCAAATACATGTATACTGGTTTTAATCCCAGGGTTCAAATCAATAAAATCCTTTCTTAACTTATAATATGCTTTTAATGCTTTTTTTTTTATAAAGCACTAATCTTGCTAAATGAAAGCTTCCAAATACACTTAGGTGGACTCCAAGATATTTGTAGCTAGGCCAACATTCTATCATATTATTTTGAAACATTAGTTTTTGTGTAATATTACGACCAGCCTTATTAAAGATCAGGACTTGTTTTTTGAATGTTTACCTTTAAACACCAATCAAAGCAATACTTTTCAAGTTTAGCGAGTCTTGCTTGTATACCTTTAGCTGATGAGGATAAAATAACAATGTCATCTGCATACATTAAACAATTAACAGTTTGTGTCTGAAGCGATACTTCATCAATACATGAATCTAAATATGATGGGAAATCATTGATAAATATTTTAAATAGGGAGGGGCTCAAATTATCCCCTTGACGGACGCCTATAGCTATGTGAAATGGATCTGAGAAGAATCTCCCAATTTTCACACATGCTTGACTATTCTTATGTATATTACTAATGATATTATAAAATTTAGATCCAACATTCATGTTAAGTAATTTTAGCTTTAATCCTGTATGTATAACACTGTCAAAAGCTTTATGAAAGTCAACAAAACACGCATAGAGTCTTCCTTCTTTTGTGCTACAGTATTTATCAATTAGACATTTTAGAACAAATAGATGATCAGATGTTCTTGCATTTTTGGTAAAACCCATCTGAGATTGATGAATTAAATTATGTTCTTGAAGAAATTCATCTAGTCTAAAGTTCAAAACACTGTTGAATAACTTGCCAAGAGTGCTGGTAATTGTGATACCCCTATAATTTGAAGGATTATTTGGATCATCAGACTTAAAAATTGGACTTATGTACCCATTACTCCAAGCTTGAGGATAAAAACCATATGTGAAACAGCTATCAAAAAGTTTATGTATACAGGGAAGTAAATAAGATTGACTATGCTTTAACATTTCATTAGATATCAAATTAAGTCCCTTGGCTTTTCCATATTTTGAATTTGCTATTGCATCAACAATTTCTTTATTTGTAATCATATAATCCAATTCATTGAAGGATGGGTTATTCTCCATGTTAGCCAACATTAAATCTATCTCTTGCAAGGGCGGATTCAGGGGGGTTTGGGGGGGTTCGGGAAAACCCCCCCGCTCATTGAATTTTTTTTTTTTACAAGTGTCATTTTATCATTTTGTTGCATTGATAAGACTCTAATATACACGAATCCATTGTTCTGTACAACTGTGAAATATACTTCAGCCACGTAACAGGAAATCACTTTCCGCTTGAACGCACACAATACACAGGTAATCAACAGAGAGAGGGGTGATCCGTGAGTCTAGTGAAGTCACTGGGTATCATTGTGCAGTACAATGTAGTCAAGTATTAACAACAGAAAACTGCATAGTTACGGTGCTGCTCAGTAATATTCCTTTGCTGATAAAATGCATGGTTTTTTTTATTAACTATTTGAATAAACTATTATATATAGGGTTTTTTATTTACCGTTTTAAAAATTAAATTAATACATTTTTTTTTTTTACATCATATTGACAGTATACTCAAGTAAATTGAAAAGCACTAATTAGGAATTCTGAAAAGAATCCAATGTTTGATTTTTTGAAAGTGTTTAAAATTGCACATCAGTTGTATCTTAGAAGTCAGCTTGACTAAATTAATTGAAAATGCATTTAAAAGACAACTTGAAGTCAACTGCTTGTATTCCTAAAATTGTCAGATGTAACAATTTTTTAAAGCAAAGTCTAAAGTCTTGTGTTAAAGTTAAATTACATGTAATTTGAAACATTTTATTTATCTAAATTCTTAAATATTTGTGATGATTGGTCTTTAAAAAAGCTACAAAAAGTACAAGAAATGATGGAAAATGCACCATTTTAGAACTATTTAAAACATTTTTTTCGGGGGGAGCCCCCCCCCCACTCCATTTTTTTTAAACAAGGTCTAAAGTCTTGTGTTAAAGTTAAATCAAATTGAAACATTTTATTTTTCTGGATTCTTATGATTGGTCTTTAAAAAAGCTACAAAAAGTACAAAAGAATGCTGGAAAATGCACCATTTAGAACCATTTAAAACAAAATTTTCTCCCCGAACCCCCACCTATGGGAGGGGACACCCCCTCCCATGGCGTCCCCCTTCAGCCCTTTGGGCCTCAAAACCCCCCCACATGAACTTCTGGATCCGCCACTGTCTTGTAGCCTAGAATTAAAAGAGTTATCACACACAGAGTGAAGATTGCGAAAATGATTAACCCATGTTTCAGGATCTATGTTTGCTGCAGAATTATCTTTATTATCATACTTTAGGTCATTGATTAATTTCCAATATTGTTTTGGTTGTTAATTTTGAAGTGCTTAAAGTTGATTTAGAATAGAGTTTTGGAAATTTTCTTAATTTATTGTA